TGGACGACTTGTAGAAGAGAAAATTCTTGGCTATACCGGGACTCAAACTGCGACCCCTCAGTCGTCCAGCTCGTAGCCAGTCGCTATACCGACTGCGCTATCCCGGCCCGCTTGGTCGCTGGTGTCGTTGCTTTTCAGCGGAATAAACTGCATATCGTCTTAGAGTTCATTTTTTGCTGGCCTTGTAGTACAAATTAAATGGCGCACATTCAATTTTCCTTGCCTCGGATTTCCTTTGTGTGTTACAGATTAGACCGTGTCCATTAGGAATCAGAATTACCGGAAGTTCTCAAAGTATGACATTTAGACGGTTGGTGGTGCTTCGTGCATCCTACCTGCATTGGACAAGACATACATCCATACCTATAAATCTCATGATCCCAGTGTTCGATCGGGCCTAGACTTTTGCTCATTTTGTGGCACTGCACGCTCATCACCATGTTCACAAGGGCCTGTCACAAGACTTTAACCTGAGTCTGCTGAATTCTGCCCACACTCTCACTCATTTGTTTTTGTGGCCAATTTTAATATTATCCTCCTCTCTGCGCCCAGGTCCACAGATGATTTCTTCCCTTCATGTTTGAAGTTTGGAAGCATTTTTATTTGTTTCTAAACTAGTGTCTGAGTTATTCTTTGCTGTATAAGCGTTATCTCAGTTAACAGAAACTGCCAGTACTTGTACCTGTAGATCGTCACCTGAGTCCATTCAATCTGAGACTTTTTCCTGAGATGTATGATACAGAACGTTTTATGGCAAATAACTATATGCAAGAACCTTGGCTGGAGGACTGCTCCTTTTCAGCTGTCTGAACTTTATATTTTCACAATTACCTCCCATAGCTAAACATCCCTTTCAGCTGAAAATGGAATATGTACCATACCACCCAGAGATTCATGTAGAGAATTATTTAAGAAATTAAAAATTCTACCTCTTCAATCACAATACATATTATCGCTTCTCTTATTTGTTGTTTACAACAAAGATAAATTCAAATTAAATTCTGATGTCTATAACATGAATACTAGACAAAAATATAACTTCCACCTACCCTCATCAACTTTATCAGTATATCAAAAAGGAGTCTACTTTACTGGCATAAAAGTGTTCAACAATCTGCCACAAAGTATTAAAAACTTGGGCAATGATACTAAAAAGTTTAAATCAGAGTTAAAGAATTATCTACATGCTCATTCCTTCTACTCTTTAGATGAATACTTCAATGTAAATAATATTAATTTTTAAGCTAAAATTGCCTGTACTTATGTATGTAACCTTTTGACTTGTTCTGTATCCAAAGGTACTAACCTACTTTGGATTTATAGAATGTAAATAAATTCAATTCAATTCAATTCAATAATCCAGTGAAATTGTAATTTATAATGCAGCAGATTTATAATTTGAAAATTTATTGTAGAGATAACAGTGGTTACACAGTAAACATTTCTGCTTATTACTTTTGTTTTTATTTAACTCTGTACCTAACCATTGCTAATGAGATACATGTTCATGTACCATTATTTTGCTGAAAACGCAATTTAACAACCTTCCAAAATTAAATCACTTTGCCCAAGGAAACCATGCGTGCGTGCGTGCCCATCTATCCATGGAACACTAGGCTGTAAATTACAGTTATTGAAATCGAACTGCATAGTAATGTTAGGGTCATAGAACGGCATAGGGAGTGCTCCAGTTTATACAGGTCACTTAATATTATTAGGATAGGTTGGATGTACGCCTGGTAGAGAGTCCCCATGCATCAGGCTGTAAAGCCACACAGAGGCCATGGAGGTGAAGTTTAACATATTTGTAATCTCTCTGTTCTGGACCTGAGTTATTAGTTTCATGCACTAGTTGCTTTACCCTTGAGGAACTGCATATTTTTAAACTTTTTATAAGTTTTCAGAATGTGTGAAGGAATGTTATCAGTGCACAGTAAAGCAGCGTTATGTTCAGTGACTTGTGTTTGATATGTCAGACGGGCTTCTGCATCCCTTTGTGCTGTTGCTGTTATATTTGCATGATTGGAAGGACATTATGACCCCTGACCTTTTTGACTACAGTGAAAGGAATTTAAAAAAAATAGCATATAGAATATTACATGTTATTTTAGGATAGTAATTAGTAGGGTTGATGTAAACGAAAATGTTAAAAGGCAGTGGCAAGGAACATTCCAGTGCAGGACCAGCTGTGTTCAAATAATAGTGTAGGTCCAAATATAATAAATAGCTAATCAGTTGTATATATTTAATCTGTGTCAAGGTACAATTTATTCACCAGAAAGTTATTTTGATGAAAGTCTGCGCTTTTATGAAACATAATTTGCACTTTTTTTTTATTAAAGACATCCAAATTTATTTCTCCTTTCCCATTTAACTGAGCAACTAACCAGTTATCTCTGTTAACAGAACTAGAAAGTTCAGTGTGATAATTCTAAGCTGATCATCAGATCTGATGCAGAGAAAATTAACATTCATATAACACATTTCCATTTTATATTATGCTCACATTCCTTCACACTCTTTCTACAGGCTGCTGTCCAAGAGGTTTCCCCATGAGAACTCTGTGAAAATATATTACTTCCCTTGTTTGATCAACATGTTCAGCCCCTATCATTTAGCCAGGCAGCTTTGTTTTGAAGTCCACATCCTGGCCACAGCCTGGAATTTTTGTACTTCTTTTCCAGAACTCTGCAGGTAGACTTACATTACTGTCAGAATTTTCATTTTGTGCATCCTGTTGTGTTATTATATACAATTCTTTATTAGAGTCCATCGCAACACAACAATACAATGGTAAAGGCTAAAATTAGCTTAGGTACAAGTTTCGGCTATTAAAGCCTTCATCAGGCAAACACATGATTACTATATTCACACACTACTGAACTGCAGTTGAGACGGTGAACCTGGATACTTAATAATTATTACATTATAAAATACTCTTCTTCACATGAAGAGTTTTTAACCTTATTTTATGCCATAACTTTCATTTTTATAATAAGTTTATAGTTCATTATTTCTTACCATGTATTTTATAGTGTAATAATTATCAAGTGTCCAGCTTCACCAATGCAATTGCAGCTCAGTAATGTGTGAATGGTAATCATGTGTTTGCCTGATGAAGGGTTTAATAGCAGAAGCGTGTAGCTAAGCTAATTGTAGCCTTGACAATTGTATTGTTGTGTTGCAACAGACTCTAATAAAGAACTGTCAGAATTTGTAACTTCTGTCAGTTCTCAGTGAAATCGGAAAAAGACATTCTCATGACTTCTCCAGATATATTTGTAATGTGTTTAAATAATTCAAAGAATAATTTGGAACCCTTGCCCAACAAACTTTGGATCAGATGTATACCAGGTGTGGGTTTTGCAGATGTTTTGCATCTTAAAAGTGTCACATTGATGATGTGCGCTTCATATGCTATTAAACATTATTCAGATACCAACATGGGAAATTCGTTCGGTTTGTTCCTATTATGCAGCCACATAATCAGATGAAGATCTTTACTGCAGACTCTCAGTAGACATATGCCAGGGTCTTTTTATATATAGTTCTGATTGGGATTTTCATGATGTTGGAACTGTTTCACTTCAGCCATGATAGGGGAACAGTCTGTTGGAAAATTTTCACCCCATTACATTTAGATTGGCTGTTAAGATTCTTGCACTCATAGTATGTGTTACATTAAATTTGGTGTAGCACTTTGTGCAATTTAAGTAACTTATGCATTTTCTTCAAATCTTAAATTGCTGATAAATGAACGCCTTATTTTTGCATACTCATTTCAAGGGGCACTTTCCTCTAGATGCACTAATATTTGTCATTCTTTCTAATATCGAGGAGCAGTTGAATTTCTTCTCATTCTTGTCAACTCCAGAAATTTATGTTGACCTTTTTGACATGATTGTTGAAAACTAAGGCTAAAGTGTTAATTAACTCCATAGAGCCTGTCCTGAACTAGATGAATCCAGCCTAAATCTTCCCACCCTACTTTTATAAGAGCCAATGTAATGTTGTCATACCCTCTATGCCTGTGTCTTCTGAATGATCTCATCCCTTCAGGTTTTCTGATTAAATATTTTATATGCATTTCCCACTTTCCTCATGTGTATTACATGACTTCCTTATTCATCGTATTTAATTTGATGACTCTTAATAATATGTGGTGAAGAGCAGAAATTGTAAAGCTACTCAAGGCTAAATGAATGATACATGTTCAAGTGCTAATTTTTGTAAAAGAGTGCAGCACAAGGTAGATAAAATAAAAACGGTTCAGTATTTTATGTCTCTTCAACTAGGGAACACAGTTCCTAAGTAAAAATGTCCACATTCCATAAAAGGCAGGGAATTTCTTTATGAAATACTCTGCTCTGCACTGTTATTGAGACATGGCCTTTCTTTCTTAATTTATATGCACTTGTGTAACCAAAGCAGACTTTATTCATTCATAATAGTGTCTTCATAGCTCTGACATTCTTCAAGGATTAGTTCCTTTGTTCTCTCAGATAGTGTAAGAGCTTTCATGATATTAACATGGCTCTGTCAAACCAGAACCAGCAGACAGCTGAAATGAATAATGGAAATTAAAACAAAATGGTACTTAAAGAAATCTTGACAGTCAATCATGAATGAAGTGATACGTTAGCTTCCTCGTATTTCAATAAATATGCATATGAAAAAATGTTTTAAATAAAATTTATATCTATGAAAAAGATTTATATGTTATGCCTTCTCATGATTTTTCTACAGTAAGCCAGTTTTGAGAAATTTTGTAAAGTCAAAATAAGACTTTATTTGAAGTAGAAGGTAATTACTGCCAGTATACACCAAAATTGCTTTTGTGTTAATTTTTAGTATGATTGCATTTTAATGTGTGCTTTTGACAAAATTATGAAGACAGTGACAAATTGAGTCCTTATTACAGCAAAGGCTGAAATTGAGATACTTATGATTGAACGGGTCAAATGGTGAAGATTGAATGTTGTGTGATGTGTCCCTTGCAGAAGGTTTTACATTAAGAAAATGAAGGTGAGCCCCAGACCTGCTGAAGGGGGCGCAGTGCCCGGTGTTGTACGAGTTCCTAAACACTCCCACCATCGAGGTGGTAGGCAGTTGACTCGCAGATCAGGTAGGGAGTTTGCCTTATCCTACATCAGTTTATCCAACCTTTTAAGAATGATTTATATCCTGCAGGCTTTCCTTCAGTGACCATACATTTCATGTTACAATTCAGTTGAAGCTTCTGAAACGTATAATTTTTTTAAAAAATTTACAACTCCATGTTGTCTGTTCTCTACAAGAGAAGTAAAAGGATTCAGATGCATATGATTTAGATATTGTGATAAGTCACATTGTTGGAGTAGTATCATACTGTAGCATCCTGCTGCACATCATTTATTATTTAACAAATGTCACTGATTCACCATCTTATGTGCAATGCATCTTATTAAAATTATTTACAAGTTTTCTTAAATAACACAGTGTGTCTGTTAAAACATATTTGAAAGTTTCTGTATATTGCACTACATGTTTCGACTGGCACTGGCCATCGTCAGGTGTTTAAATGGGTGTTGGTAAAAACTGCTGTGCTTCCGTTTTGTTGTTCTGATATGTTATGCATAGTCCCATCTGTGTGCTCAAGTAAGTATCTGTAACATGTATTAATTATATTATGTTAGTATTTTTTGTATATAATGTGTGTTAATATTCTGGATGATTACTTGTTTATGTACTTACTCCAAGGTGCTGGGCAGATACACAAGCACGTGAATGGGATTATGCATCAAATATTAGAACCATGTAACCGAAGCACATTGGCTCTAACAAACGATTTTTAAACACGTGATAATGACCAATGTCAGTTGAAACATGTAGTGCAATGTACAGAAATTTTTAATAAGTTTTTATAGACACATTATGTGTTTTAAGAAACTTTTAAGTAAGTTTTAACAGGACGCGTTGCATGTGAGACGGTGAATGAATGACATTTGTTTTTGGAATAGGTTTCCTTTAAATCATAAATTATTTTACCAGCAATGAAACTGTAAACCTGCCATTGAGCTTCAATTGCTGCATTAATAAAAAATCAGCATTAATGAGTGAAATCGATTTTTTATTATAGTTTTAAGAGTCTTTTAAAATTTAATATTCCTGCACATGTATGTGTTTTGGACATCTGACATATGTAAAGTATGAAGCGAAAGTTTTCATCAGTTGGTCTTTTCTACTGTACTGTAATGTAATGTTTCCTCTTTTTCATATTTTGGTCAGTCCACTAGAATCACAGTGCCTATAATTTATTAGGAGCTTTAATTTAGTACATTGTTTCTCAGTATTGTCATGTAGTGTTCAAACAGAAATGAGAAAATCTTTCTATTGTGCTTACTGTCTGGTGATTATAATACTTACCATGTTGATACAACTGTTCAAAAGACAGCAGGTATATAAGCAATGCTAAGAAGCTATGGATCTCCTTGAAGAGAAATTTGGGCCATGTCCAGGTTCAAATCACTGTTCTGATAATACAATGTTTTTTATGTAAGGAAAACAGTTCAACATTAGATGTTATACAGAGTGAAATCAACAGGTGGAGTAGTAAAAATGACATATAAAATGTTAAGAAGTGGACTGAATTTAGTTCACAATTTATATCTTAAACAGTTACACCTCATGATGGATGTATGGTATTTACTATCATAATCCATTCTCCCGTAACCAGTTTGCCAGTTTCTACCCAATGACTTCCCCATCCTTTCACAAGGCAGATTCTTTTAAGATCTTAAAGATAATTTGCATGGGTTTGCTCGCACGAAACAGTTAACTTATATTAGAAGTTTGTTACTGTATAATGTAGAGTGGTGGCACAAGGGGATGCTTATGCCGTTTCTAATATATGACGCTTGCATGTAATTTTTGCCAGAATTTGCAGACAGGATGCTCCAAAGTAAGGCAGACTAATTAAGTGTTTGTTGATAAATGACTCATCATACTCTGAAGTAGGATTTGTGGTGGATAAAGTGGTTTCCTCCAAGTACCTTGTTTTTCTTTGCCAGTTCTCATTTCACCTGCTGCTCCATATTCATTATCACCCTATCATTGGCACTACATAATACTGATACTGACGGCATTACCTGATAACAGACTTATAAAGAAATCATACCCAGAATGTGCCAAAGGAGAAATGGTGAGGAATATGCCCTGAATGTGCTGAAGGAGAAAGGATGTTGAGTATACTCTGATTTTGCTGGAAGGGGGAATGTAGGTATTGCATCATAAGTGTGCTGAAGGAATGAAGTGGGGAATATGCCCAGAACATGATGGAAGAGGGAGTGGCAGAGTGCCCTGAATGGGCCAAAGGAGGAAGTGAGGAATGTGCTATTAATGTAGGAAATATGCCCTGAATGTGTTAAAGGAGGGAAGGTAGTGAGTGTTTTCTTGCTTTGTGAACTTCTTGTTTGAGAAAAACACTTTGTAGACGAAAGATGGAGGATCAGTCCTCAGACGGAAAGGGGAGCTTACAAATGAAAGTACTATTGACAGGTGAATTTATAATTTTAGTACAAGAATGATTAATACATGAGACTGTCTTCAGCGTACCTCATCAACTGGGTTATGATTTATTTAATAATGTGTTTATTGAACACTAGTGTGCCTTCAGTTATGTTGTTCTCCTAAAATTAGACTTTAACCAGTGCTGCCTTCAGAATGTCTTTTGTTGGTTCCAAATATGAGTGGATCTGAAGAAAGCAGTCTTCTGTGATTTGGCACCGTGTGTATGTGGTGTTAACCGACGTTTCGGAGGAACGTATCGCCTCCATCTTCAGGGTAGAAGAAAAAATATAAGAAATCTGCAAGCGAAGAGACCGTGAGAATCAGTAAAAGCAGACTGTCCAAAACGTTGGTTAACACCACATATACACGGCGCCAAATCCCAGAAGACTGCTTTCTTCATAGTCACCGCCGTGAAAGCCTCAAATCTTACATGAGTGGATCTGATGTATTAATTTTTTTTTTTTATATTTCTTGCTGCACATATTCATCTAATTAGGTCTGTGCACCAAAAAGTATGTTAAAAATGAAGTTGCGCGCTGGAAGGACATAAAATAAAGATTAAGTTATTTCTGCAGCTCAGCACCATTCCATTGGCGTATCAATGGAAGTGAAAAGTTGTCCTCGCTCTCACTTCATCCTTTCAGTGAAAAATTTACTGCAGTACATATTTAAGAACAACAAAAAATATATTCTGTGTGAACCCTGTCATCCATAGCCGGTAAAACACAGCAGTGAGTTCTGAAAAAGAACAAGTATCAGAGGCCCTGAGCATTTTATCAAACCTACATGGACACTGATTCTCCACGTACCAGATCTATAAATTTATTCTACAATAACAGCAACTTTCAACATGATTTATATTACATTCAGTTTTAATTCCACACTAATTGGCAATTATCATAGTATTACTCCGCATTGGTACAGTGCCAGAAATTTCTTGTTCACAGAAAACACTGCTTCACTAGGCTTTTAGTTGGAGTGAAACTCTCCTGCATCTTACTTGTACACTGAGTCTCCATTTTATGCAAATGTGCAATGTTGTAGTTTATTTCCATTTGTTCCCTTTAATTGATTGTTTTGGTTGCATAGGTTTACGTGTCTGCTAGTTAAAATATCCCTGTAGGGCATTGTGGTGTATGTAAACGTGTCAGTTTTACATTTGAACCATCCATGATTTTCCTACATGAGCTTCATATGCTCGTCTATAAAATTTTACCTAAGAACTCACTGTATATTAACATAAGTTCAGCCTTATAAATGAAATGAAGGACTGTAAATGTAATCAGTGCCTGATGTAGGAAACTAATATGCAGTATCACTGGGCTTTTGGACTTTGTCTATCGTCTGGTATTCTGGAAACTAGAAAACTCAACGTTTCGGAAACAGGTCCAGTTCCAAAACGTTTTGTTTTCTATTTTCTGGAATACCAGATGGTGGACAGACTCCAAAAATCCAGTGATTGTGTTGTACATCATCGTCAGAACCCATTAGAATCTAATATACAGCAGTTTATATTTTTCTATTTTCTCATTCTGATTATTTTAACAGTGTTAAATTAAAACTTCAGTTATACTCAATGATGCACTTGGAGAAATTTTAGTGTAATAATANATGGATAGTTTAACAAATTCTCTGTCATAATATAGCAGTATTAGTCAGTATAGTAACCTGGTAGTACTGTCATATGTACTTAAAACTTTTATTATTTAAAATATTCTAATCACATGAATGCAATGCTTGTAATGTCAGTGAAAACATCCTTCATAGCCATCTTCAGTTATGAAAGCTGTACACTAAATAAAATAAGCTAATTTGTTCAAATGATTGGCGGAAGTATAATATTAAAATCATATCACGCTGACCAGTTTACACAATTAAAGCTGTTATACTTTTTTCAGAATTTTTTTACACTAATAATAATTCTGAGTGTTCTGACTATATATTATTCTCTCCATTAAATGCTGAAGTTGGCAGGTTCTTACTGTGTGTAACAGTAGAATGTAGAGAGGCCATGTCAGTGCATCACTTGGTATCAGCTGTGCTTTCTATGAACAGATTTTGTTCAGATGATACTGTTGGACACACTCATTTAATTCGTGATTAGAGATCTACGAAAAATTCTTGTCCTTCCTTAAATATTACCCAAAATATTGTGCATAAGCTGAGACTCAGACTTCCAATGGAATTGACATGTCTGCATTCCAGCAAATCATAAACAAGAGACACCTAGATCACAACAAATTATAAGAACACTAGGTGTACACAGTATAACATACATTGTTCTAGCAGATCTTAAAGGTTACTAATTAAATATCAATGTGTTTTATTTATTTATTCATATTTTCATGTGTTCACTGACTATAGATGGTGTTTGTATGGGTAATCCGATTTATTGCACACTTAGGACTCAGAATTGCAAGTAACTGTAATGCTGCCGCTGGTAGATGGGGGAAGCATCGAGATACCGCTGAGCCAGTAGAGGCCGAACTCGCTGGCTGAGTCGGGACTGATGGCACGCACCAGTACTGGTAGAATATCACAGGGGGATGCACAATGGACCAGTATCTGGTCTAAGTG